AATCACTTGAGATTTCAAATTTTTTAGGGCTCCCACTTTATTTATATATATATATATATATATTGATAAATTTGAAAATATTTTTTTTGGGTAAAAAATATGATCATAACGTTTACTTTATTTAATGTGGATATCGTGATAATAAATGAGAAATAAAATAGTGTTTAGTTAATTATAGCATCCTTTCTTACGCAGCTACTTACTTTGTTGATTTATTTATAACTTGGCGATTATCATGAATTCACATTACTATTTACACATTTACCGTTCTATTCGATCCTTTTTCTATTTTTATTCTCTCATTATTGAATATTCTAAAGTCTACCAAACCATCTTGTTTACTTTATTTAATGTGGAGATTGTTGTAATAATTGAGAAACGGAATAGTGTTTAGTTAGTTGTAGCATCCTTTCTTATGTAGCTACCTATTTTGTTGACTTATTTATATCATGGAGATTATAATGAACCCACATTACTACAACTTTATTATTCTAACTTTATATTATATTTTTTTATTGAAAAATTTCATTATTTACATTTTTACTTCATAAGGTCTGCGACATGCTACCTTCTTGAGACTCCACTTGTAGGATTACATTGAATATGTTATAGTTATTTAATTTATATATGACAACTAAAAAAGATAAGATCTATTTATGAAATTTTGCTTGAGGCCTCCAAACTTGTTGAGACGATTCTGGTGACCATGCATGCTTTAGAATATAAATACTCTACAATTAAGATTTTTTGATATTTTGCAAAAGGTGAGCAGTTATTGTAATACCATATAAAATTAAGATTCTTTGATTTTTTGCTAATATAATGTTTAATTAGTGTTAGACTTAAATTTGATGTTTATTTAGCTGATGCCTTAAGACAGACCCTAATAGCAGTTGTTGCTTGTTAGGGTTATGCCCTGATTTACCTTTCTCTTGAAGGAAAGTTAAAGTATTATTATAATTGTTTTTACTTTTACGGAAAGAAAAATAAAGTTCTCTTTCATATTTGGTTATTCTTTCCTAGGAGGAAAAGTTTGGAACTCTATAAATTGAAACCCCTCTTCTCATACCAACACAAGAGCATCCACATAGTAATCGTTTAAGAGTTTTGTTTGGGGAGAGATTTTCTCCAACCCGTTTCAATATTTTCTTTTATATTAGTTTTTCATACGTAGGCTAATTGGTTAAAAATCTGATTAATAATATGTTTTTAATATGCTTATCTTTTTCATCTGTTTTACCATCTCTATAATTGGCAATTGTAAGCTTCAGCATGATGCCCTTAATCTTTCGATCCCAATATCTCCTACTTCACTGAGTTATAATTCTAAAAAGATTTAGCTTGGTATATTCTATCAAGAGAAATATAATTATACATACTCAGATATTGAAAAGAAATGGTTATATACATGGGCGTAGCTACATACTCTTTAGGGTGTCCAATTGGACACCCTTCATCGTGAAATTATTCCGTATATACAAGTAAGATAATATAAAAAGTGGTTAAATAACATATTCTGAACACCCTTAACACAACAAGGTGTTGTAGGCTAGTGATTTAAGCTGCCTTGAAAAAGCCTAGTCTTTAAGCGTTTGTGAGTTCAATTCTCGCTAGCAACAGTTTTAAGCCTTTTTTCAAAAAAAAATCATGTATATTACGTTCTTTTTTCCAAAAAAAAAAATCAATTCTTTTCATGTATATTATGTTCTTTTTTCCAAAAAAAAAATCATGTATATTACGTAGTTTAATTTTTAAAATCTAAGCTATGAAAGTAAAAAGCGTAGCAATTACCTAGTAATAGCCACAAAATTTTGAACTTCATAGCTATCTATAAATTCGTAAAATTTCTTAGCCACAAATTTTTTATAACAAAGCTAATTCTTTATTTTTGCTACAATTGCTAATGATTGTGGCAAAAATTGGATGAATAGCTACAATTTTATTGCTATAATAAAACTTTTTGTAGCTAATCATAAATTTTTGACACGCTATAAAAATTATTGTAGCAATAATAATATTTTAGCTACAATAAACTATTTGAAATAAAATATTGTAGCTAAATAAATATTTTTGCTTCAAGTTATAAAATTTGTGGCAATAATTAAATGATATAGCCACGTATTTTCTACTATCATAAAATTGTGTAGCTAATTATTCATTTTTGCCACGAGTTGAAACTTATTGTAGTAATAATAATCTTTTAGACACAATAAAATATTTGAAACAAAATATAGTAGCTAAGTAAATAATTTTGCTTCAAGTTATAAAATATTTGTGGGAATTGTTAAATAATGTAGCCACGGATTATTTGCTGTGATAAAATTTCATAGTTAATTATTAAATTTTGTAACGTGTTGAAATTTATTATAGTAATACTAACCTTTTAGTTATAAAGAGGTTGTTTAAAACAAAATGTAATAGCTAAATAAAAATTTGTGCTTTCAGTACTAAAACATTATATTGTAAAAATATAGTTGTAAATAAAAATTTGTGCTTTGAGTACTAAAACATATTATTGTAAAAATATAGTTGGCTGAAAACCTATATTTATTTATCATGATGAATTAAATAGCCATAAATTTATTATTGTGATTTTATTTTTTTTACCACGAGTTGAAATGTGTTATAATGATATTGATCTATTCTAGAGGTGTTAATTGTTTGATTTGATTTACTTTTATAGAGCTACTTATAAATTTCAAATATACTTTTAATTAATAAATACTTATATCTAATTAATTTTGATTAAATAACTTCACCATAATAATATGTTTACTGATCCAGTGTTATTGGAGGTGTTAATTGTTCGACTCAAATCTACTATACAATATAATTTACAAATCTTAAATACAACTTAAATTAATAAATAAGTCGTTATATTTACTTCAATTAACTAATTAGATCAAATTCTAGCAAACTTCTACAAGTCTAATTCAAACTTCATCCTGACTAAATCTATTTATAAATATTATTTTGATTGATACCTGATTTATTGAGACAATTATCTTTAATTATTAATTTTATATAATTAGAGATGTTCATCATTTGACTCAATTACTTATATATAGTTTAAATAAATACATTATTAAATAATTAGTGTATAAAAATAAAAGAACCAATTAATTTTTAAAAAAATACAAAAAAGAAGAAGAAGGTAATCTTCAAAAATTATTGATTTGTATAATTACTTGCAGCCTCAAATTTATCAATCTTGTATTTTATATATTATGAAACATATTAATTTTAATATTAATTTCACTTTTTTAAATGTATAATCAATTTTAAGAAAAATTAAGAGTCATGAATATATTTATATATTTAATTATTTTGGTATTTTATTACTATTTTAAAATAAGTGTTTAAGTTATATATTTTTTATATAAGAACTTATTATTATTTTTAAAAAGTATTTATGCAATTTTTAATAATTGTAGAGATATTATGTATATGACCTTTATTATTCTTAATAAGTAATTATATTAATTTTATATATAAAAAAATTGATTTTTCGTAAGTGCTCATATATATATAGAAAGAAAAAAATATTGCAATTGTTATTGTACATCTACTTTCGATAAATTTGTAATAATAATTTTAACGAAAAAGGGTCAAAATATTTCTAAATTATGTAAAATTGATTTAAAATGTCGATAATTGATATTTTCGTCTAAAAATACCCCTAACGTCAATGGTATGACCCAAAAATGTCCCTATCACCAATAATTTGATCTAAAAGTGTCTCTATTATTACCTAATGGGTCAAATAAAAAATAAAATGTTTCTTTTCTTGTTAAACACATTTTATTCCTAATAAATATATTACTTTTGATGAATCCTATATTTTTTTAAAATGTTTCTTTTCTTTTTAAAACACATTTTACTCCTAATAAAAATATTACTTTTAAAGAATCCTATATTTTTAAATCACTTTAAATAATAATTAAGTAGGAAATGATCTTTTCTCCTTCTTAATCTCATTTTATCAATTAAAATATTTCAACTACATGTATCTTTTTAACTAAGTATATAGGTCATATACATAAGAACATAGTAACCTCATTAGTAATTTTATTTCGATAATGATAAAAGAAAATCTAATAAAAATGGAGAATATTTTTATTTCTTTATCTTTTAGAATTGAAGTAGGATAAATACTTCCTAATGAAAAATTATTATTATTTGGAAAATAATGTGTTTTAAAAAATAAAATAATATATTTATATGAAAAAAAACATTATTGACCAATTAAGTAATAATAGAGAAATTTGTGGATCAAACTATAAACGATGAGGACATTTTTAGACCAAATTAATAAATGAGGACATTTTTATTCAATTTTTTATAGTTCAAGAACACTATTTTCCGTAATTTTAATAACAAAAACACTTTATAGCTACACAACCATAAAATAATGATGAGTTAATAATTGCATCAGTACTAAATTTAAAATGTATATTTGATTAAAATGAAATTTGTAGCTAATTTTTGTGGTAACACATGCAAAAGATTTTGAGACGGAATTTCCGCCAGTAACATTATTATTCATATTAATTTTTTATAATTTTTTTATATTATGTCATACTAAGTATTGAAAGAAAAATAAATTATAAGGATTTAAAACTCTTCCATATTTAGATCCAAACCCAAAATCTCCTCCCAAAATGAAAAATTGTAAAAGTCAAAATTCCCCCCAATATTTTTTAAGCCCAATGAGAAGATTAATAACCTACTCCCTTTTCCACTATCGCCTCCCCTCTCCTCCCCTCCCCTCACTGTTCATTTACCTTACTTTCTTGCTCAACTTAAAATTTTTATGTAATATTTTGATAATTATTTTTTTTATCTTTTTCTTTTAGGTTTTATATTCAAGGTACGTTCATATCTTCATATTTTAGGATTTTTGATTTTGTATTAAGCCCGTTTCATTTAATTTTTTAATTTATACTTATTTTGGAATTTTAATAAATTGTGTCTTATGAATGAATTTTCAGATTTCAAAGTTTGATCAATGGAGTTTCAAGGAGCCATAATTTGCCGACTACAACAACAAAGTGTTGTGATTATATTGGGATGAAGATCCTTTTAAGAAGTTTAAAAAGTTTGTAGGTTTGTTTACTTTTACTGTTGCTTTGCATTTTTCCTTGATTTTATCTATTAAAATTGTAGTAAAAGAAATATCTAGACATATTTGTTTCTCCTTAGAATATAGATTCTATGTATATATATATATATAGTTGGTTCTTATTCTTGGTGCTAAAATTCATTTTTATTATTTACAGGTATGTTAATAAAATTAAAGCATATCAATGACAAATCAAGATGATGTTGATCAAATTAAGGCGCAATTGAAGACCATGGAAGAAGTGATAAGGAAAGACTATGATACTTTAGATTCAAACAAGATGATCTCTTAAAAGAATTGTATATTGTAGCTATTTTCAAAATTGTAATACACAACTATTGATAACTTGGGAAATATTTTGAAATAGATTGTATCTACATTATGCAACTCTTGTGACTATAATAGCTTGCAAAAATTCTTAAATAGTAATGAAATTATAGAATGCGTGTGTATATATATATATATCACATAATAAGAGCAGATCTATAAATTTTCACTTTCCGTACCAAGTGAATTTTTTGCTATAATTCAATATATTTCATGGCTAAAGATATGAATTGTTAGCTACAATACAAAAATTTCTATGGCAAATACTTTATGTCATAGCCATGAATTTTATCATTCGTAACTATACACGAGTATTATTGCTACGAGACTAAGCTATAGAAATAGCTATAAAATTTAAGTTTACATGGCAAACGAACTAAATATTTTGCTACAGTGCAATATCTTTGTGGCAACATTGATGTAGATAGTTACAAATATTGTATGTTGTGGCAAAAAAATAAAATTACTTGCTATAAATATATTTTTTGTGGCAATTTTTTTTACCAGCATAACTACAACACAAAAAATCTGTAGCAATAGATGTTTGTTCTTAGCCACGGACCATGTAAAGTTTGTAGCTAACATTTAGCCACGCTACATCTTGCCACGAATGCTACGGAAAATAATATCATAGCTAAAGTGTTTAGCCACGAAAAATTCCATATTTAGCTACGGTGAATTTTGTAGCAATATATGCTTTTTTTTGTAGTGAAGCTAATAGCATTGAAGCAGTATGTACTGTACTATGCAAATACTAGTACAACCATAGAATAAACTTCATAAATAATTACTGATGAAAATTTCAATAAAACTAATTTACTGCAAAGAATACCAGAATAAATAAAATAAAAAAAACTCTGAGACAGGGAAAGTCTTGGAGTTTCACTTTCTTGAAATTACAACAGTGTAATATAGTTCATAATTACTGATGAAATTTTTGACAACATTTTTCTGTGTGAAGTCCCATATTAAGAAGGGGAGGGGTGTTGTGGCTTAACACAACAATTTTTATGTTTGGTTGATATTACAAATAATGGCTTAACACAACAACTTATAGTTAGGAAATATTAAAATTAAAATCTAGACATATGAGAACATTTTTTAATCGCGTAAAAGGCATGAGTCGAGTTAAATGAGTTTGAAAAATCTAAAAGTTCAATGTGATAATATGGCATGACAATTAGGAGAAAAGTAGAATTTTATACATTCAACGATCAACGCTAAAAGATATTAGGTCGTATTATTTTTACATTATACAATATTGTGAAGCAATCAAAATGTCTAACTATATGACATCAAAATTATAAGATAATTCATCAAATTAGAAAATTTTCATATAATTTTCCACTTATATGTAATTTTTTTTGTGAAAAACATTTTCTTTCATATCAAACACACCTAACATCTTGAATAGTAATTATAATATTTGCATAGAAAATATTAGTCTGAGTCATAAATGACATATGTAGGTGGATATATTCAGGATATTATTCACAAGAATATGATAGTAAATCTCTATATAAGGTAGATTATCTATATCAAAGACATTTTACATTGACCAATTTTTCATAAATAAAAGATCTTCTTTGACTCATTAATCAACTTTCCATAAATAAAAGATTTTGTTTGACTCACTGTTTAAAATTCAAGATTGAAATAAAAATTTATATTTGATAAGTTCTTAATGAATAAGTACTATATATATTGTAATAATAAGAAGCATTCTAATGACACAAAAAAAGACTTCTCTTTGTACAAAATATAGCTAAAGTTTCAACCATTCTCTTTTCTTTTTATATGATTAGAGGCTAAAAGACTTGCTATCTTATGTGATGTTGAAGTTGGACTCATTATATTCTCCACAACAGAAACTCTATAAATTTATCAACAACGGATTAATTATTAATTTCCAATAAGTAATATGTTGCAGGTAAATTCATAGAGTTTTTTAATATTGGAGTAAAAAAAATTAGACCAACTTCAACGTCACATAAAACAACAAACTTTTTAGCTTTTTGAATGAGTCCATTTCTTCTCTTTGACAAAAAAAGAAAATAAGAAACACTCTTAAACACACATATACTCCCCAAAAAAGAAAATCCCTTTTTGAACAAGGAAAATTGGGCAAATATATCCCTCTACTTTGTGTTAAAGTAGATATATCCGTGTTTAAAAAGTGATGCATATATATATATAGCTCGTCATCTAGCAAATGATGCATGTTTACTCTTTTTGTTAACATACATATATTTACTAAATTAAAAAATATATATGTGAACATTTTTTAACCTGGTATAAGACATGAGTCAAGTTAATTTCTATAAAATTTATGTTAGAGAAAGACAAAAGTTTTTTAAACTTATATCTAACAAAACTGACAATCAAAATGTTTTTAAGAATTCATCCCTTACTCTCTTTACCCAATTGTGTTGGTGACCGAGGCCCATCTCGACCAGCGGCGGAGCCAGAATTATCAGTAAGGGGTTCAAAAACTGAAGAAATAGACACACGAAGTAGCCGAAGAGGGTTCGACATTACTATATATATCTAAAAAATTATTTTAATCATATAAAAATAATATAATTTTCCGCCGAAGGGGGTTCGGATGAACTATTTTTAGGCCCCCATTTTTTTTGAGTAGAAAATGTAATCGTAACGTTTACTTTATTTAATGTGGAGATCGTGATAATAATTGAGAAATAAAATAGTGTTTAGTTAATTATAACATTCTTTCTTACGTAGCTACTTACTCTGTTGACTTATTTATATCTTGGCGAATATCATGAACTCACATAACTATTTATACATTTACCTTTTTTTTAGTTGATTCACTTTCTATTTTTATTCTGTCATTATTGAATATTCTAAATTCTACCGAACGATCTTGTTTACTTTATTTAGTGTGGAGGTTGTTGTAATAATTGAAAAATGGAATAGTGTTTTGTTAGTTGTAGTCTTGTAGCATCCTTTCTTACGTAGCTACCTATTTTGTTGACTTATTTATATCTTAGCGATTATAATGAACCCAAATTACTATAGACTTTATTATTCTAACTTTATATTATATATTTTTATTGAGAAATTTCATTGTTTACATTTTTACTTTATTAGGTCTGCGTACCTCCTACCTTCTCGAAACTTCATATATATTGAATATGTTATAGTTGTTTAGTTTATATATAACAACTATAAAAGACAAGACCTCTTTTATGAAATTTTATTTTAGGCCCCAAACTTGTTGAGACAACCCAGATGACCATGCATGCTTCAGAATATAAATACTCTACAATTAAGATTCTTTGATATTTTGCAAAAGGTGAGCTTACAATACCATATAAAATTAAGATTCTTTCATATTTTGTTGATGTAATGTTTAATTAGTGTTAGTTTGCTTGAATTTGATGTTTATTTAGCCAATGACTCAAGTCAGACCCTAATAGTAGTCATAAATAGAGTAACTATTATCATATTTTAAAGACTATAAATATTTCAATTATGACACATAAATAGAGTAACTATTATCATATCTTAAAACATAAATAAGGATAAATAATAATAAATTCCTTCTAATTAGTATTTCATTAAGATACGTGATAAAGAAGAATATGATAAATAATTTAAGGTGGAGAAGTATTCATTTCTATACTACAAACAATTAGATTTGACAAAACACTTCTTATCTTCTGTGACATGCCATGTCATATTAAAACTCTATTTTTTATAATTATTTATTTAACTTATAAAAACTCATTTAGGATTTGATTGCATTTTTCTAATGAAATAAGAATGTAATCCAATTATTCATAAGATTTTATTCTATTCAAGTTATATATAATCTACGACTAATAGTACTGCCTAATTAAGTAAGGAATAATTCTGTTATACTACCGTGTTGCTTCAACAGTGAAGTATGCTGTGCAACTTTTTTTTATATATAAAAAAGATTATAGTTAAAAAAAACAAATTAAAATCTAAATATATGAGAACGTTTTTTTTATTGCATGAGTCGTGTTAAATGAGTTTGACAAATTTACTATTAAATAAAAATTAAAATTTTAATGTGATATGACATGACAATTAGGAGAAAATGAGAATTTTATATGTTCAACGATCCATGCTAAAAGATATTAGGTCATATTACTTTTACATTATACAATATTGAGAAGCAATCAAAATGTCTTACTATATGGCACCATAATTATAAGATATTTCATCAACTAAGAAAATTTTCAAATAATTTTCAACTTATAAATATGTTTTGTGAAAAACATTTTCTTTCATATCAAACACACATTAACATCTTGAATACTAATTATAATATTTGCATAGAAGATATAAATCTGAGTCATAAATGATAAATGTAGGTGGATGTATTCAGGTTATTATTCACAAGAATATGATAGTAAATCTCTATATAAGGAAGATTATTTAGACCAAAGATATTTTACATTGACCAACTTTTCATAAATGAAAGGTCTTCTTTGACTCATTACCCAACTTTCCATAAATAAAAGAATTTCTTTGACTCACTCTTCAAAATTCAAGATTAAAATAAAAAGTTTATATTTAGTAAGTTCTTAATGAATTAGGTAATTGTAATAATAAGGAGCATTCTAAACACACAAAAAAAATGCTTCTCTTTATACAAAATATGGCTAAAGCTTCAACCATTCTGCTTTTTTTTTTTTAATATGATTAAAGGCTAAAAAGCTTGCTATCTTATGTGATGCTAAAATTGAACTGATTATATTCTCCACAACAGAAACTCTATGAATTTGCCAGCAATAGATTAATTATTAATTTTCAATAAGTAATCGGTTGCACGTAAATTCATAGAGTTTGTACTGTTGGAGTAAGAAAAAATTAGTCCAACTTCAACGTCACATAATATTGCTAACTTTTTAGCTTTTTGAAGGAGTCCATTTCTTCTCTTTGACAAAAAATAAGAAACACTCTTAAACACACATATACACTCAAAAAAAAAATCCCTTTTTAAACAAGGAAAAATGGGTAAATATGTCACTCTACT